CCCGTGTGACGAACATGTCAGACCATCTGGTCAGTGGCCTCTCTCGAGGTTTTATTTGGATTCCGTTCCAGAGTTCTTAGTGTCCATCTGTCGTCTGTCCTTCTCATTATATGACCAGCCCATCGATGCACTTTAGAGACGTATTCCGCTGGATCGCGAAGACGAGACATTGATCTCATATCTGAAGTGAGAAGTCTGGCGAGATGTTGAGTGCGTCGGGTGTACTTCAGAAGACGTCGTTCCAGCGCTCTGACGGTTGTTCGGAGAGCCTTTAACGTAGCCACAGTGTCAGGTCCGTCTCTGCTGCGTAGCAGAACGCAGGAAGAACAGTTGAATCGAACAGGTGATTCGGAGCTCTGGGTCCGCCAACTGGTCTGTAGCTTCTTTTGGGAACCTGAAGGCCCAAGCTGTTCTTTGCCTCCTGTTTAGTTCTTATTTTAGATCGTTCTCCATGTTCATTGAACGCCCGAGATATGCGTAAAAAGACGTCTCCGCGATTGGAGAAACTTCTATTTCCATTTCCTGATCCTCGCAAAAAGCGTTCTTTATGAACTGAGTCTTCTTCCGATTGATTCGCTCTTATCCGCTTCCGTATTTCGTTTAGTTCCTTCAACATCATTTCCGCTTCAGTGCTATTTCTCGAGAAAAGAGCAATGTCGTTCGCAAAACGAAAATTTGATAGGGATCTCCCATCAACTCTTATACCTCTCTCGTTCCAATCTAGCGATTTCATCTCACTGCAAGGCGACGTACAAGAATTGCTCTGCTGGCACAGCTTCTCCACCCCCTTAACATGCTCATTTCAAAGGGGATTTGACAAGGCGACACGGTGTCGCCTTGTCAAATCCCCTTTGAAATGAGCATGTTAAGGGGGTGGAGAAGCTGTGCCATTGAAGAGCAATTCTTGTAGCTCTAGGCCAATGTCCTCACAAGATGGGTCCACTCTTTGGTCAACGAGCGCTGACAGTATGGCATTATCTCGACGCTGTCAAAGCTTTTTCATGGTGAAGGTTAGGACGAGAGGTAGGCGGTACTCTCGGCAAACCTCGATAATTCTTGAAACTGTCTGGATGTGGTACACGCTGAATCCGTGGTGAAATCTAGCATGTTCTAC